CCCCCCCCCCCCCCCCCCCCCCCCCCACCACAAAAGTCCAATTCTCGGATCTTAGCTCAGAGGACGCAGGAGCGCCTGGCTCACTGCTGCCTCTGGTGGCCAGTTTGTGTCACTGTTATTACACTTCAGGACTTAGTGATGGAAACATCAGTGGATCAACTTTCGTCACCGACTGTTGTTGTCCAACTGACTCCTTCACAAACTTCCTGTAGGAACAGTTTGCACTGAGACTGAACACAACGTAGATTTTTGCTGAAATGAACCGTGTGGCAGCAGGGGGCAGTCAAACTCTCTTTGCGCTAATGTACCTCTTCCATAGAGCTCGTGGTTCAACGTAAAGAAGCTCGTTAGCTTGTTAGCGCCCTCACCTGCTTTGATGGGACTGTCGTGGAGGCAGTCCCCAGAGACGACGTTTGTGTTGACTGAGGTGGAGGCGTGGTTGCTCAGGTCCATCACTGTGGACGCAGGTGTGGGTGGGGCTGGCAGCATGATTGGAGTTGGTGGCGGTTGGTGCTGGTGGTGGTGTTGGTGGTGGTGATGGTGGGCGGGGCTAGAGGGAATGCCATTCTCAGACAGGAATTCCTCCAGGTCCATGTACTCCAGCTGGAAACCGTCCCCATCGTAGGGCAGGGTCTTGTCCCACAGCGTGGGGCCCAGGAAGGCAGACTGGGGGGCGCTGTGGTCCTCCTCCAGGTTCTTCTCCTTCTCCTGCTCTTTACTGAACACTACAAGATGGTACGGAGGAGAAGAAAAAAAGACGTCAGTATGTAGAAAGATGACAGTCCAGACAAACTGGACAAATCACTGGTCCACCAGAGAGAAACACTTGAAAAGATGCTACGGATCTTTTGCTGCCTCCTGTGGCCAGTTTGTGTCACTGAGATAACCTTTTAAATACAACTGTGACAACATTATCTAGTTGGTCCTATAAATGGACGTTGGTGGACCTTGCTGGACTGGTATTTACTATAATTGTATAGTAATCACTTGTATATATATATACTTATATATATAATTTTGGTGAACCTTGCTGGACTGGTACTTACTATGAATAGTATTTACATAGTAAACACATATTTACTATTTGGATTTTTTTTACTTGTATAGTATTTACATAGTAAACACATATTTACTATTTGGATTTTTTTTCTATAAACCCAGTTGTCAATTAAACTGAAGATTATAGGATAGTTTTTTATCTTAAGTCTTTTTTGAAAAACCTACAAAAAACAAAAAGGATTTTTCAAGACCCAGACTGACCTACAGGGGGCGCACGGATCCTATTACAAATATATTTAACGTATAAACTTATACCACACATGTGATTTAATCTTTATTTTACCAGGTAACTGTTTGACGACACCAGTGTAAATAAAATGTATAAATATTATTATTGTTGTTATTATTATATTAACCCCCCCCCCCAGCAGTACTTCCATTGATCCCCAGGAGAACCTGTTGAAGGTAACAGTTCATCTAACACCTTAAGATCAGAGAGTTATATTTTGGACTCTGTTGTTAAGCCAGAAACACCAACTTATTTTTCAAATGTTGATTTCTTGGACTGATGACGCACGCGCACACGCACCTTCATGCTGCAGCGGCAGTTTGAGCGGATTCTCCAGCAGGGACTTCAGGACTCCGTGCGTGGCTGCAGGCAGAAAAGAGGAGTTCGGATGGTGTCGAGACATGTTCTCCAGAGCGCCGCCTTCAGACTGAGCCCAGAAATCGCTGCTCCACCGACAAACGGGCGAAGTCACAGGTGAAACGAAGATTTGAAGAGACCTGTGTGACTGCCTGCTTCTCTCTTCGGCTACACCCGAGGACAAACCACCGCAGTCGACAGATTAATCGACACCCAGTGGTCTCAGAGTCTAACGTGTATAAAAACAAGTGCGTCAGAACCACAGTGAGCAGCAACAGCAGCAGCAGACACACACCGACCAACGTGTGACAACCGAGCGCTGCTGACGTCACACAGACTCCTCCCACACTTCGAACTCTCAGCGGCCACTGTATTAGGAACAATTATTATTGTTATTAGTAGAATAAACACAGAATAACAAAATCAACCATTTAAATCAAAAACTCGTTTGTGTTGGATATTTTAAACAATTTTTAAACTGTGAAACTTCTACCGTGTTTTACCTTTACAGAACGGGGAATTATCTCTGATTTAGTTTTTCATCAACTGTCCTGATATTTTACTTTTTGTTTCATTGTAGCTAACTATGCTAACAGTAAGCTAACTCATCGGCTTTGTAATTAAAACATTATTTATATATTACTTTTACATCTTTAACATCCACACACACACTCACATAGAGCAGGGATGCTGGGTCACATGAGTGGGCCGGCTTGACCTACTTTTGTCCAATCAGAGGCCTCCGTCTCCCGCTCTCCTCCCCCACCATCTGCCTCCGTTCTGGCGTCTGGTCACGTTGAACCTCGTGTGCTCTGAGAAAAACAGGAAGGAAGGAGGCAAAGCGAGGAGAGGAGGGAAGAGGAGAGAAGCAAGAACAGGAAGAAGTACGTGAGGAGGGGAGTGAAGCAAAGATGGAATGATGAGGGAAGGAGAGAGGGAGGGGCCATAGGAAAGAGGAGAAAAGGATACAAGATGGAAAGACAAGAAAAAAAAGGAGGTGAACTGACTGTAGGTGTGAACGTGAGTGTGAATATGAGTGTGAACAGTTACCAGATGACTACAGGGATTGACCCCAGCTACACTCATGACCCCCCCCCCACACACAACCTCTGACCCTCCGCCACACACCAGATGAATGGGTGATAAGATTGAGTAAAAGTTCCAAAGTTCGATCACGTTCTTTCCATCACCACGACACATGTATATCATCACACACCAGCAAACAAAAACTCACAAAACGTCCATGTAATGAAATATTATAATCTTCTGGTTTAAATGACGTCATAATTCACTAAACTCTCGGTCTGTTGAGTTGAAGACAACACTGATATACTGGCAGGAACTGAAGAAAGACACTCACAAAGATCTTCTTCAACAGCTCGGATTATTATTTTTTAGTTTTAATAGTCGTCTGCTGCCACCTAGCAGAATTAATTGCTCTGCGTGTCACGCATTGACGAACGAAGAAATTAAGTGATCATTGGATCATTTTCTACAGCACACCTAATGATCCCTCTAGTGTGCCACGGCCCAGTGGTTGGGAATCACTGGTCTACATTGTGCTAAGATAAAAGTCCTTCCCCGCAGAACCTGAAGGAATTGTACTTTTCCACCCATCTCCCTGTACTCACTGTAACAGTCTGGGGGTAAAAAACTCTTTTGTTCCTGTTTCAGGAAAAACAAAGGAGGGCCAGTTACAGACGCCACTCTGGACAAGAGGCCCGTAAACTAATACCCAGGCTTTCACACCTCGCCAGAAAGAGGGATTGTGGTGTGAAAGACGTATCAGTGACAGGCGACGTGACAAACAGCATGTCACCACGTGTGCTAACAGCTAACAGGTTTCTACACTGACAACTGCAGCAGAAAATTCAACGATTTTCTTCCTTTTTTTAACTCTACTGTTTGTTTGATCATTTCTCACTACTGCCATCTTCTGGCTGTCATCAGAGCATTGTTTTCTACCACTTAGTGCTCGTATCTCTGGTAAAGGCAACTGGAACTCATACATGTCATTAAGCTTCTTTATTGAAGCTTCAGCTGTTTTTAAATTATGTTGGTTGCGTTCTTAGCTAGCTTCTAACAATCGACTAACTCTTTATGGCTATTAGCTTATCATCAGTGACTTTAAGCAGTAACTTACAGTTGACGTTAAAACGTCTCGATCTGTTGGCTGTTCAGACAGAATGTAAAATGTGAATCATGACTCATCCCGGGATTATAGGCTGTCACTGAGGAGAAGAGTTTCAAACCCGCAGCACTCAAGGATGTTAATGTGTGTGTTGGACATGAATGTAGCATCATCAGAGACCACTGTTGCCATGCCAACAGTGTCAGAGCTGACAGTTAGAAATGATTGAACTGTAACACTCAGACAAACGCTGACCCACTTTCTGCTTCTCCCTCTCCCCACTTTCACCAGCAGGATTTTGTCAACGGCGCCCCTCACTGCTGTGATCCTGAATCACGGCTGTTAATTATGCAACAGCGCCCACGTCTTTCCATTCAGGCCTGGATGGAGGAAAAGTAGGTGATTGAAAAAAATGTCAGTAATCTTCCTGAAAACGAATGAACCAATGAAAAAAAAACCCATTCTTCTCTGAACTGATGTTTACACCTATCAGAAGGTTTGAACTCTGTCCGAGATCCACACTGGTCACTTTAAAACAAACCACAACATCAAAATGTGACACGTTTTGTCACACAGTGATACATTCAACCTTAAAGCTACAGTGTCCTCCAGGATGTCACTGTCACACAGTGATACATTCAACCTTTATGAAAACCTAAAGCTACAGTGTCCTCCAGGATGTCAGGACATTCTTTTTGCTCCTCTGTACTTTCGTCCTCTGTTTCTTTCCTGTTAACAGCGATCAGAACAAACTCTTCGTAGACTAATCACGACCTCCAGGGTCATAACAGTCGAGACACTGGAGACGAGCTTTTATCTGAGCTAGCCTTTTGTTGTTGTCAGGTGTCACTATTTGACATCTTTTTCATTTGTTTTTGACGCTGCTTGGGCTGAAGTTGGTCTCAGGTTGGCATAGATCTAATCATGATGAAGGCTTCACAGGAACTGTTTGACCTCGACAGCAGGAAATGAACCTTGTGGAGCTGAATCACCCCTGGTTGTGATGAAGTGAAGTGAGGCTGTTGAAAAGACAGTGTTGCCATGGTGACAGCAGAGATGTCCACACTGCTGCTGCTGTCTTTAAGAGACTCTCTTCTCTTCAACCACCCAATGCTTTTCCACTTATCACAATTATTACAACAAGGGCTGATGATGAGCAGTTACTAGCAGGCAGTGGTGGGGGTGGATGAGGGTAAAGGTGTGGGGGTGGGGCAGGTCAGCTGGACGTTTGCGTGGCCTGGTTTCAGGAGAACAGGTGAATTAAACGTATGTTTGTGGTGTTTTTGTCCTACTGACCTGAGATGGAATAAAGGTGAAGTCGGCAGGAGGCGTCATGGCCGCTTCACTGAACAACCCGACCGATTGACCTGGTTTGAAGAATCACAGGTTACACAACCATAACAAACCAATAAGTCAATTCTCTCTCCTTCAGGTGCTGCGTTCACTGGTCACAAAACACCATCGGCCATTTTCACTGTGCTGTAGGGTTTGTTGTGAAGTTGGTGTAACGTTTGTGTAACTTCTACCCAGAGAAGTATGTTTTTAAGTACTTCAAAGTGTAGTTACTGATCCTCAGAGAGGATCCATCCAAGGCAGTGAGGGAAGGAGGAAGGAGCTGAGGAGAGAAGCTAACAACAAAGACAGACTCTGTGAACCAACCAGGAAATAAACAGCACCGCGAGAGCAAGAAGGAAGGAGGAACTTATTTTAAATTAAAGACAGGAAGGAACCCCAGTCACAGCACCGTGTGTGTGTGTGTGTGTGTGTGTGTGTGTGTGTGTGTGTGTGTGTGTGTCCTTGCTCATTATCCTGACCCTGACTGTTTGACCGTCGTCTTTTCTCCTCAGTCAAACTCATTCATTCAGGACATTGACATATTTCGAAAATCAAAGGAGCTGCACATGACCTCTGATACTACCTTTACTACTACTACTACTACTACTACTAAATTTGAGAGTGAGATTTTTAGATTTTTATAAAAAAGTCAACCAAGAAGAAGAAGTCTTACAGCTCTAAACAAATCCTGAAGGTGGCATCAGTGCATCCAGGAGTACAACAGGGCATCATCCAACCAGAGGTTTACCTTTAACGGCGCATGCTCAGAGCAGTACCAGAGGTGTGTGTCAAACTCTGTGTCCAGCTCCCGTTTTATCATCGGTGTTGTTTTCTACGCAGATGATTCACTGCTTCTCACTGTGGACTCAGTCCTTTCTGTAGGCAGACGTATAGATAGAGTGGATACAGTTACAGGTAGATGATGTGGGAGGTGAAGGGAAACTGTTGTGTAACAGTCAGCAGCTACAACCAGCTACAATCAGGTGGCTGTGACAACGCCCCCTGCTGTCAGCAGTATCTCACCCTACAGTGGTGCTGTAGTGCTGTCAGCATGTTTATACACTGCTCAAGTTCTACTAATGGACAGAATAAAAGATAAATGCTGCTGGTGCTGATCTATCAGAATATCAATTATTTACAATAAGTGTTAATTACATTTTTATTAGTCTTTAACTTAACTTAGTTCTTCTTATATATTTAAAATTTTTATTTTATGAATTTTTGTATGTTGTGAATTACTTCAAGTAAACAAACAAAAGAAAACCAAACATAAATATGATTTTTTAAAATATTTTATTTTCTAATATTGAACCTATATGAAACGACAGATCAGTGTGTGTTTTAGTGTGCACGTGGGAGTGTGCACGTGTTAGAAGTAGCTCTGCAGTGGTTCTCCCAGGATGTTCTCCATCTCCTGGACCACCTTATGGACCTGCTGCTCCACCTCTTCACACTCATCTGTCAAACAACAAACACACGACATCACACACAATTCTGGATTGTTTTTATTGATTCATTTAGCTTCGGTGCTAATTAGAGCTAATTACAAACAATACAAACAAGACAATTAGTGAGTGTGACAAGAGAGATAAAAAGATTTAACATTCTGACGACTTTTCTAAAATCTTCACTTTGAATGTTTGCTGAACACAGATGAAACACTCACGTCATTAAACTTGAATTTGTTAATAAATCTGTGTGTGTGTGTGCTCGTGTGTGTGTGCACTCACCCTCCATCAGTTCAGCCAGGAAGGGAATCGTCTCTGGCAGCAGAACCATGTAGTTCTCCTTTAGCTTAGACGCTAACTCCATTAGCATGACCAGAGCCGAGTAGCGCACCTGAGGGGGCGGAGCAACAAGATCAGAGCAAATCACCTAAAATCCTCATCATCACAAAAATGTGTGTCAGCACGTTCAGGTTCAACTGTTCTGGACATGTGTCATGTGACCAGAGGTCACGTGACCTCACCCGTGAGTCTGTGTGTCTGGTTTTGAGCAGGATCTGATAGTTGAGAGTTTTCCACAGGGAGTCGTCATTCAGAGCCACAGAGAACTGACCCAGACACGGGACCAGGTGTTTGAGCACCCTCTGCTGGTAGACCTCGGCACCACCCAACGTGTTTTCCAGCTACAAATACACACAAATACACTAACAGTGAGTTTTATGTGTGCCGACAAACATTCTGACAGACCAGAAAAGTCACTTTAAAATAATGAATGTATTTTTACAAATATAAACCAGTTTATATCGTCAACATCCTGCCCAAAAACACATATTTTTTTAAATATATTTTTCTTTTAAGACACTTTCCAAAAAAACATCTTTCTGTGAAAAGAAAAGATGTTTGTTGAAGTAGAACTGTACAGAACAATAACTTTGTCCAAGAGAGAACTCAGTGGACAGCTGTCTTCTCACCTGCTCCACTAGAGGCAGCATGAGAGCATCGGCTCTCTCTTTGCTGAGGAACCTGTGTGTGTCATACAGGAAGATCTTGTGGAGACAGTCTAGGACGTAGTCCAGCAGCAGACAACGTTTGTCTTCTCTGTCCAACAGAGGCTGGTCTGAGGGGACAGACAGAGACACTTTTATAAACCCAACCTGGACAGAACCACAACCAGACTCGGACTGTAAGACTACAAACATTGACATTTTAAAAACTGCTTCAACTTTCAGGACACTTCCTGTGACACAGTGATGTCATGACATCAACATCAGCTGACGGTTCAGTAAACAAAACAACTTTTCTTCAAAGTATTTCCAGGACATGTTTATTTTCTGTGTGTACACATCTGTTAAAAAACGACCATTCCCTACAGCAGAAGTACTCTCCATGTAGTACTTTTACTCACCTGTGGAGGAGCTGTGGTTCTGTCTCAGCAGGTCAGAGAAGGCTTTGACCAGGTTCCCTGCAAACAGGACAAACAGTCCCTTGAGTCGTTCTGCGATGCGGTCAGTCAGACGGTAGAAGGTTAGCAGACGTTCGCTGCTGTCGGATTTACTCCAGTCGAAGAGCTGACGGAGAAAAACAACAAAACGTTCATCAGAGACCAATAATAACTCCTCCACCCCAAAAACAGTCAGGGAGGACACAGGGACGTTACCTTGAAGGGCGGTCTGAACGAGCCCTCGGACAGTTTCATCACCATGGACAGCAGACAGTCGATCACATGACCCTCTGTCTCCGACGCCTTCTCCAGGTCATCCTGATCATATGGTCAAAGAAACAGTTACTTGAAGGGTTAATGAGAAACGTTCACTTGTCTGATATAAAAGTCCATCTGTCCATCTCTGCTGCCCCCTGTGGTCAGTTTGTGTGGCTGTGTTTATTGTAAACAAAGGATTTAAAAAAAAAAAAAAAAACAACATTGAAACTGAATGACGGAGGCAGCAGAGCAGTGACATCATCAACGGGCCACGGTTTAAATGTCTGACCCAGTGAATGGACTTCAGTGTGGGACGTGTCACTTCCTGTCTGTGTGTCAGTGTAGCATCATGTGACCTGACTGGTGAGCTCACTGACCTGACAGTGTCGCGCTCTGTAGTCCAGGGCTGTGAGGAAGAAGGAGGTGAGCTCTGATTGGTGGACCGTCAGCTGCTCTCTCTCCATGTGAGCGATGTGTTCCTTCAGGATGCTCATCAGCGCCCCCAGCTGAGCCTGCAGGACAGGTTAATGGACACAGCAGGTTGGTACAGATCTTCCTCACCAACCTGTTTACTAAGGTTGGGTTGTCTGGAGGAACCTCCTCCGTCCTACCTTCTTGTCCAGGACCATGGTGGTGTAGCTGCTGCAGAGGGCGGGCAGCAGGACTCTAGGAGGAATCTGATTGGCCAGATTTTTTCTGAGTGCAGCCAGACGGAGACACAGCTGCTCAGAAGACGGGGACGGAGAGAAGGACAAGGACTTGTCCGCCAGGCGAGACAGAAGACACACCTGGGTGGAGGACAGAGGAGAGAACGTGAACACAACTGTAAAGAAAGACAGATGGACAGACTGGAGCTGTGGCCACGCCCACTCTGACCTGCTGGGTGACGTCCTGCAGGTATGGACTGATGAAGTGTGGCAGCGTCTCTGTGACCTTCTGGAGAGAACTGACCACGCTCAGCAGGTAGATGTCGCTGGACGTCAGCAGGTCCTTCCTGTTCTTCACTGCACGGAGGACAGCAGGCATCAACCTGGGAGCACACACACACACACACACACACACACACACACACACACACACACACACACACCAAAGTCAGTGAGCTCCTCCTCCTCCTCCTCACCACCTCCTCCACCCTGACCTCCACAGACCTTGGCAGGTGAGGGATGGCCAGAGCCTTCAGAGCAGCCACCACCTCCGCAGCACAGAGCAGAGCGCTGCCCATGACGTTCTTCTCCTCCGCCTCTGACTCCACGATGTCCAGGGTCTTCAGGAGCACAGGGACAAACACCTCCTTGCTGTCAGAGCCAAAATTGCGGCACAGGAGTTTGAGGCTGTAGAGCGCCGTCTGTCGGTTGATGTCCAGCTCCTCCTTCTCCTCCATCTTCTCCTGGCCAGGACCTTTACCCACGATGGTCAGCAGGTCAGAGGTCAGCTGCAGGAGCAGGGAGACCTGGAGATGACGTTAATGACATGTTCAGTGCCGTGCTCAAACTCCAGGCCCCGGTGACTCTGATGTGGACACCAGGACTCCTCACCTGCTGCTCGTCCCACCGTGTCCTGTGGTGGAGTTTGTTGTTCAGCAGCTCCATCGCCTTCCTGCGCACGGACGCCAGCTCGTTACCCATCAGCCCCCTCACCACGGTGATGAAGGTGTCAGTGGGTAACAAGGCGTTGACCTGAAGACGGGGAGGACAGAAACATGTTTGACAATGGTGACGTGTCTCCACAGGACAGGAGAAGACCCTGCTGCTCCATCACTGACCTTGTCCAGAACCTCGTAGCCTTTGTTCAGTAGAACTCTCCAGAACTTTGCTGTGGGTTTGTCAGCGTTCTGCTCCACAGCCCGGGCCACGGTGTGGATGTAACGGAGGACTTCCTCTAACAGCCTGAGACACACACACACACACGTGAGTCACACATCAGATGACACCAGAGTCTCTGGAACGTTGCCGATCAGCTGACAGTTCTTACTTCTGCTGCAGAGACTGGTCCACAACATCTCCACAGTCAGAAACCTGGAACACAAGGATCATGGGATCAATGTGAGGAGTGAGAAGGAGATGAAGATACAGAACACAGACACCAAGGTGAGAACTGGGAGGAGTTTGAAAACATCTGGAGAACATCTGGAGAACATCAGTTCAGAGTTATGGAGATGAGTCATCAGCTGGTTCCTGGTTGTTCTGTGTTCCCCATCAGAACTGAAGCAGACCTGGGACACGAGAACCTGTGGAACCTCTACCTCAGCCGCTCACCTTGGCAATGAAGGTGTTGGAGCCGAGCAGCTGAGCGGTGAAGGACACGGAGAGGAAGTTGAAGTGTCGCAGCTCTTTGCTGCTGTGAGTGTCCATGTCGAAGATCAGCTCCTCGGCCGTCTCTTCCGCCTCCTTCTTCTTCTTGGCTCCTCGGCCTCGGGTGCTGGGTTTGAGTGAAGCTGTAAACAAAATCGAAACCAAACCTTTGTTGACATTCAAATAAACTCCTGAGGACAAAGAAGGTCCAGGACCAGTGGTCTCACCGTCATCCTTGTCATGAGGCAGCTTCTGCTGGAACTTCAGGATGTTGATGACGGTGGTGATGATGTCAGAGACCTCAAACTGACCACAGAGGGAAATCCAGAAGTCCACATTCTGGTCCAGAGCTCCGTCCTGATCACAAACACACACACACACACACAAATCAACTAAAACGCACTTTTTACTTGGCTTTAAAAGCCACTTGGTGTCGCCCCCTGGTGGACTCACCTTCTCACTGGAGAAGCCGGCTGTGTGCAGGACACGCAGCTTGAACAGAAGAAGCATCAGGACCCACAGGAAGTGGGCGGGGCCCATCGTGGTGACCAGCTGCGTGAGGACGGGCAGACGTCGGTGGTCGGGCACATGAGGGAGCGCGTCGGCGAACACGTGCATGATCCTGGTCACCACGACCAAGATGTGAGCTGAAGACTGACCGTCGGGGAGCTGGTGGGCCTTAGGGGGAGAAAAAGGGGGAGTAAACAACAAGAAGAAAAACTGAGAATGTGTTGACAGCAGTCAGGCTGGTGGTGGCGCCGGCGCTCCCACCTTGATGAGCGCTGGTATGACCATCTGAACCGTCTTATCGATGACTCTGAAGCTGTAGGCGTCGTCCAGACGCAGGATGTTTGCCCCCATGAAGGTGAAGATGGGCATGATGTTGTGCAGAACTTTCTCCTACAGGGGGCAGCAGAGAGTCCACAGTCATAGTTTATTCAAAAGAGTGAAACAACAAACATGCGTTGGTGTCCACGCGGCCCAGAGGGACAGGCACTGCTGTGTTTTAACGCTGCGGCCGCCAGCGCTAACTCATCGAACTCACAGGGAAGATGGCCGCCGTGGTGCCGAGCAGCAGCAGAGCGTGGTGGTGCGTTTGTGGGACGTCGGAGGTTCTGATGCACTGAACCACCAGCTCCACGCTGAACTTGTCCTCCTTCAGAACATCTGCAAGAAAGAGAGCAGCAGACGTGCGACTTCAACAATCAGTTCAACAAACTCTGCCCACAGCTGCCACCGATGTGTGGCTGAGACCACGCACCCTGCTCCACTGGGCCTCCCTCTGGCGCCACCTTGTTGCAGATGTTGTGCAGACAGCTGAGCAGCAGCTGCTTGGTGTACTCAATGTTGGTGTTGTCATTGGCTGAGCTCGACTCCAGACTCCTGTGGACAGAAGACAAAAGTGGGACAGGGGGACAGGTTGGGGGGGGGGCACATGACTAACAAGCTCCTCCTCCAATGACCCCTACCTGGAGAGCAGCA